TTATTAAGTAGTTGTACAAAGAGGTTACAATTTCATAAGTCAGGTTATGAGTACAGCACACATTGACCAATACACTCCTTTGTTAATTCTTTCCCATTTACTCCTTCCTGTGTCTATCCTCAAGTTACATATTTCAATTTTTACATAATGTACATTGACTATAATACCTTCATTTGGTCCCCTTCCTCCCTACATTCATGCCCCTCACCCACCATTGCCCTTCCCCCAAAACATTTTTTGGCTTTTTGGCATTCATTTTGTTAAACAATGAAACTGTTGTGCTAATGTTATTTTTTTTTCTATTTTCACTAATGCCAGTTTTAGGAGAATATTTTACTTCAACTTGTAAATGTTTCAGAGAAACTATTTTACATTTTAAGCAACTATTTTTCTAAACACCAGTATTAACATGCTGTCTCAAGTGTGAAATCAGAAAGCCATGTAAAATGGATACACTACATAACTGTTGAGGGTTTGTTTTTCTCATACAGAACAAGCTGAGTGATTTTTAAATAGTCTAAATAGTTATTACCATCTGACTGTGATACGTTCTTCCTTTCACCTTCCCAAGAATTCCTTGCAATGATGGTTTCTAAAGGAGTAAGAGTGCAGAGACACACACTCCCTCAGGGAACAGGGTAGGTGGCTCACATAGCATGATGCTTTCACAACTCTGGCATGGAGACACAGCAGACCCACGTTGCCCTTCAATTCTATACAATATAGGCATCTTCCACACAAATGTGGTCCACCCACATGTCCAAGCTGATGCCACAATTTCCTAGTTATTTCTTAGTCTCCACCATGGCACGTAGGTTGCGTGTAAATCACCAGGTAGAGGAAATAGAACTTGGAATCCATTGAGAGGATTTAAATAAGGCATTGTAGAAGGGCGGGGGGGGGGGGGGGGGGGGACAACAAACAAACTCTTTGTGGAAATGTGAGAGGTGCAGTATCACAGGAGGGCTTGAGACCTGTGGCCCAGCTTTCCCTCTGCCACATGATAGGACAGGACAGATGTGTTTGGTATCCTCCTCCAATAAACTCCTCTCCCTTTAGGAGGGGAGTTAAGCCCAATACTGAAGAGGTCAAGAAAGCACAGTTTTATGGCTATTTTGAAGCTTTCCAAATTGCATAGGCAAATTCTGTAGAATTTTTTAAACATATGTCTGTTAAGCTTAATATTTTAAAATAGGTGGTTTATGGAGTCTAGAATTCTCTTGGGAAATAAATAGAGTTTTTTGTTTTTTTTTTGGTCTATTCTGTTTTGGTACTGGGGATTGAACTCAGGATGTTGCATTTTCTAAGCAAGCACTTTGCCACTGAGCTACATCCTATCCCTAAATATAGCATTTATGTAAATAATTATATATGTTTCTGTAATTCTAAAATGTTTTAGTTCTTCAGGTTAATCTTTCTCTGACTCCAATCAGTAATAACTTCTAGCTAGGAATGACACATAAATTTTATCTCCAAAAGGAAAAAAGGAAGAAAAAAATAAACAAATCAACAAAAATGTTTACTTCCGTGAATACTTGCATAACATGAGCCAGAAAAAACATAAAGCACAAAATCAGACAAAATATTTGAAAGACAGTTTTCAAATACTGGATAGACAAAAGGACAGAAAATTCAGAAATCTGATCCATGAGAAAATAAAACAATAGGAATGAGTCCTTAGATTGTTCCTAATTCCTGCTTGAAGGCAGTGTAGGGGCCACAACACAGCAAGAGCAACACAAAATGAGCCTAGCCATATTGCTGAAAGGAGAGACAAGAAGAGGTTGTTTAGGAAACTCAAAGCAACTGTTACAGACAAGGCAGAATGAAAATGAGTCATGGCCACTTTGATCTGTTATGTACAGAAGAAGATATTAGGGCAAGGAGTACTAGAAAAGAGCAATAATACAAGTGGTAATTCTCAGAGATAAGTCAAGACTGTAAAAAGTTTGTGTTTCCAGAGGCTAGAATGGAAAGATAGGTTAAAACACCCAGGATTGGGTATTATTTTAGATTATCCCTACATTAAAGTTGATGTGGATCTTTCTTAGCAGAGTTTAGGACAAATCTAGAAAGAGTAAGACTAATTCCACATAGCCCAATGATTGAAAAAGCTCCCTGAGTTCAAGCCCCATAACTGATTAAAAAATTTATTATAACCTTGTAAATAGATACTGGAATGAATTCAAAGAAGAGAGGGAACAGAATGGGAAAAATTTAACAGGGTACCAGTGATTTTTTTTTTACAATAACCTATTTAACATAGGCATAACCAACATCTAAGAAAAGGTAGCATGTGAAAATTGTGGCTACTTTTTTTCTAAATTCAAAAAAATTTATACTATCTGCAATCAAAACATTCAATGAAGTTCAAACAGAACAAGTAACTGAAACTCTACCAAAAATAATGTGCTCAAATTGCTGAATCACAATATTAAAGAGAAAATCAGCTAGAGAGGGGAGAGGAACATTGAGCACAGTGGAAAAAAGTAAAGAAAGTCAGTAGACATTGTGACAGAAACTATGAAATTCAGAAGAAAAACCTAACATTTTAAGATTACACAGAACACCATAAACAAAAACAAAGAAAACAACAAAAAAGCTAGCTAATACATATACACACACACACACACACACACACACACACACACATATTTTTTTTTTGTCGGTCATGGGGCATGAACTCTGGGCCTGGGTGCTGTCGTTCAGCTCTTTGGCTCAAGGCTAAGCTCTACCACTTGAGCCACAGCATCACTTGTGGTTTTCTGGTGGTTTACTGGAAATAAGAGTCTCACAGACGTTCCTGCCTAAGCTGGCTTTGAACCGTGATCTTCAGATCTCAGCCTCCTGAGTAGCTAGGATTACAGGCATGAGCCACAGGTGCCTGGCTCCAATACTTGTTTTTAATGCAGGTATTTTTAACCATACTGACTATGTCTTCTATTTCTAAATAAAATCTGAATAAAATCTGCTAGTGAGCAGACCTAAACCATAGAAACTATTCAAGTAAAAACAAAATGGAAAAGATAGAAATTTATTGTATAGAACCATAGAAATTGTATATGGATAAGTAGAAAATTCACTTTTTTCCTTTTTCAATTTCATTAGATGGTAACTTTTTAAATGTGCAGTGATGATGTTTTATGAAATTTATGACATATACAAAAGAAAAATATACGATAACTCCAGCCCAAAGGATAAGATCAAGGAATGGAGGCATACATACTAGGTGGAGTTTAGCGAGGAATGTTTTGAGCCTCTTCAATTAATAACGAAAAAGCTAGAAGTGGAGCTCTAGCTCAAATGATAGAGCATTATTTATCAGAAAAAGGTCAGGAACCATCTAGGCCCTGAGTTCAAGTCCCAGGACCAGCACACACACACACACACACACACACGTCTTTGTGCTCTCTACTCTCTATTACTATATTCACATTTGAACTGGAGGTTCAAGTTGGAAACAAAAAGCACAACTCTTATGGATGGTAAGAGTAGCTAGTCAAATATCTTTGGAATCTACAAAACAGTTCATAGAACCAATAAGTAATATTTTAAGCTACAAAATACAGTGTCAATAAATAACTAAAATGCAATTCCATGTATTAACACACAACAATTCTGTGGTAACATTTATAACAAAATACCATTAAAATATTATCAAAATTTGAAAGCAAGCATGCAGGCTCGCACCTACTTGGGAGGTAGAGATTATGAGGACTGAGTTAAGAAGTCATTCTGGTTAAAAAAAATAAATGCGAGACACCATCTCAACAAACAAGCTTAGCATAGAGATATGTCTGTAATCCTAGCTATGTGGGAGGAATAGACAGGAAAATAACACTAAGCCAGCCTCATGAAAAAAGAACAAACTTGTGAGAAATAACCTGAAGCAAAAAGTGCTGGGCTATGTCTCAAGTGGCCTTTGTACTTATCTAGAAAGTAAAAATAAAATGTGAACCAAAAATTCAAGACAAGGGCCTTGAGTGCAAGTGATCTTATATTTGCCTAGTAAGATAAAAAAGCTAACCAAGTATAAAGACCTGAGTTCAAATTCCAAAACTGCCCAAACAATATAAAATATTAGATTTTGTAAGATATGTAGGGATAAATTGGCATAGGTGTGTGTAAGATTCTTCTATTAAAAACTGAAAAAATATATTGTTAATGAAGACAGAAAAATGGAAACATAACTTTCTTGATGTGTTAATAATGCTGTGCAATTCTATCCATACTGATTTTTATTTTTATGCAATTCCTATCAAAACTCTATTAGGCATTAAAAGCTGGAAGGCTTGTAGCACAAAAGTTCCATCTATAGTTGAATAAATAAACTAGATATATCCATTCAATGAAAAACTAGTCAGCAATGCAATGTAGTGAAGTAAGTATACAAACAACAAGGAAAGAACAATTGTTTCAAAGATCATACTATATCAGATAGTTAGACTGGCGTATGGAAAGAGGGGATACATCCTATGGTCCTCAGATAACAAATTAAGACAGGACCAGGAGAGAAATACATGTAAAGTACCTATTAGTAGATTCAGTAGATAGGAAATAATTGTTACATGTAACTATATAAATAGTTTTTTTAATAAATAGGAATGATTTGTTCTTTGACAATACTGGGTTTGATCTTCATGCATGCTAATCACTGGGATGTACCACTGAATACCAGGATGTATCACTAGAATGTATGCTAAGATGTACCGATTTCTAGCACTGTACCACTTGAGCCATACCACCAGCTCTTCTTATTTTAGTTATTTCGGTGATTGAATTCTGTCAGTTTTGTCCAGATTGGCCTGGATTGTGAACCTTTTGATCTCAGCCTCCTGTGTAGCTAGGATAAAAGACATGAGCCGCTTAACCTAGCCTAGGGCTTGAATTCAGGGCCTGAGAACAATCTCTGAGCTTTATTCTCAAGGCTGGAGCTTTACTATTTAAGCCACAACTTTGCTTCCAGCTTTCTGGTGGTTAATTGGAGATAAATGTCTCAGGGACTTTCCTGCCTGGGCTGTCTTAGAACTGTGACTCTCAGCATTTGGCCTCCTGAGTTGCTAGGAATACAGGTGTGAGCCATCTGCCCTTGGTTTACAAATAGGACTTTTAAAATAGACAATTGGGGAGCACATTTCTTACAAGTTACAGTGATGTGGTGTCATAACTTTAATTTGATAATAAAGTTAGAATGATGAACTATCTGGACAGGCATTGGATTTAATATGTAAATCTGTGGTATAACTTATAAATTAAGGACAAGGACACAACACACTGCACAATTTAAAATTGATAATCTCTCTCTCTCTCTCTCTCTCTCTCTCTCTCTCCCCACATCTCTCTCTCTCTCTTTTTCCCTTTCTCATTTAAGTTGGAACCAGAACTCAGACTTAGTACTTGACACTTTCCCTCATTGGGTAGCACTGTAACAACTAAGCCATGCCTACAACCCACTTACATTAAGTGAAGCAAGTTAGGCTCAAAGAGACAAAAGATGCATGTTTTCCCTTATATGTGGAAGCTAGATTTAGTTTTTAATCTCACAAATAAATACATTGGGTAATATGCAAATATATACAAATGTGTTACCTGAAATACAGTAGATTCAAGGATGATCTCAAATAGTGTAATTCCTTAGAAGACAAACGAAGTTCAGCAAAATGAAACTCCAAGAAGCATGTACTTGAAAGGGGTGGGGTGGGGTCTAGGAGAAAGTGGTAGGAGAATGAAGAAAAGAGGTGGACTGTGCAGACAAGAATCCAATGTATAGACTACAAAATGAAGGAGAGTGAAGCAATAGAGTGGAGGAGAGTGGGCTCATAGAGTTGGGTGAGAATGTTGAAAGGATTGATCAAGACATATTGTACTCATTAACTACTTTGTTAAATGACCAACTCCTTCATATAACTTCCAAAAGACTGAAAAAGTAAGATTTCATGCATAGATCAGGATTTTCCTCCCACTTCTGATGAGCATTAATATTCTATTTTATAATCCTCATCTCAGATTCTTTGTAAATATGGAAAGGAATCTTTTGTCTTGCTTTGTAAATTCACATCATATATATGGATAATGATGTGTAAGATCAGGGGATTATTATAATCCAATTGTTCATTGTTCAATAGGAATTATTTTAGCATGTTTTTCAATGTGAACTTCACTATTCTTTAAAATTTTTCTTTAACAAATAGGTACATAGAATATTGGCAATGTGTACTGATTCATTGTAAAAGAACATATATAGTGGTAATGAAAACTAAACCAAGATTAGAATCCTTATACTTGATTTTTTTCCTTTATAAATGTGCATTTCTTGAACAACCAACTTCTTTCATTATGAATATAGCTGTGTCACATAGAATATCTACCATGTCTTCCCACAGAGTGAAAAATCAATGAAAATAGCATGAAGACACCCAGCAAGCCTGTTTTTGATGAATTATGTCCTTAAAGATATACTCTCTATGTGGTTCAAAATGTATTGATCAGTAACATCTGTTTCCATAATATCAATGACAAACGGTTCTCTTGAACTTCCCGTGAAGTGACAGGGTTTAATCGAGAGAGCCCTGAATAATAAACTGACTACCAAGAAGAGACAGAATAATGAAGTTAGCTCAAACTTAGAAAATAACATTTTTAACTTGAGTAAAATATATTAATATTTACATTGACCCTGCCTTTAAAAAATTTGTATCTTTTATAATAAATGGGAAGGGTTATTATATCATCAAGTTAAAGTTCCTAAAGAGCCTTTGGCAATTACCATTCTGCCTATTAGGTTTAATTTACATTTTTTTTGTCAGTCGTGGGGCTTGAACTCTGTCTAGGATCTTTGGTAATTTTAAAAGGTTCGTTCTAAAGGAAGAATATTCCTGTATGGATTTCATCTATCAGATATGAAATAGGCCCACTATGAAACATTTATACCACAATTAAATTAGCCGAGTGCCAGAGGTGACCAATAGAGGTCACATTCTTTTCAAAATGTCTACCCACTATGAATTTAATTATTTTATTTAATTTAATTATAATAATTATGATTATCTTATTATTAACATAGTTCTTAATTATAATTAGGGAATTTGAAAAATGTAGATTTTTTTGTTTTGAAATCTCAAAAAATCTTAATACATTGATTGCCCTAATGTTTTCTAAAATCTTTTAAAGAGAAACTTTAACAATCCCTTTTATATATTTTAAGTCATATTCTAAAAATCTGTAATTTATACAAGTATATCTACAACTTTTTAATCAACACAATTACTTAATATATAATCAGACGCAATAAGGTGTATCTCTCTGTCAACTATCTCCTCTTTCCCCATCCTTCTAACAAGCTTATTTTAATAGAAGGTCAGTTCTGTCACCTTAGAATCCTGCCTCTTGATTTGTTAGTGTAAGAACTCTTTAAAGAAAGCGGCTAATTTTGACAAAATTTGTCATAGTAGTCTGAATTTTCTCAGATCTCATGAAGCATTTGGTTCTTGTTTTTTAACTCATCTCTGTTATGTCAATATCAGAACAGATTGGTTAAGAACTTAATAGGTTCAGAACAAATAGATTAATGGTCCAGGGCTCTCTAGACAATATAAGATTGAGTTGATATTTCATATAACAGTATAATATCTTTGGCATAATCCAGTCTCAGCTCTATCATTTAATGTCTGTAGTTTTTAGAGAGTCAACTTCTTACTTCCTTTTGGTGGTGACGAGGTTTGAACTCAGGGCCTTGAACTTGCTAGGCATGTACTTTTGTTGCTTGACTCATACCTTCTACCTCCTTTTTACTTTCATTACTTCTCCAGATAGGATGTTATACTAGGGCTGACATGGACTATAATCCTCCTATTTATGTTTCCTGCCTTGTAAGATGACAAGGCAATACCACCACTCCTGGCTTTTTATTGACGGAGATGCGGTATTACAAATAGTTTGCCCAGAGTCACTTCAAACCACTTTCTTCCTGCTGTCTATATCTGTGGCAGTACCTAGAATGATAGGCATGAGCTAGCCACCACACCTAGCTTCAGTATCTTTCTTTCACATTATCAAAATTAGGATAATAGTTAGTGTAGGATACATAAAGGCTATATAGCATATATTGATTTTTTTCTCCCATAAAAATCTGTGTTCAGGGAACACAGCTTGCTTTTCCCTTTCCATGATAATTTATGAGCAGTAGTTTCTAGCACCACTTCATCTGATTTCTATTTTTGGGACTGCCCCCATTCTTTCTTTTCCTCTCTCTCTTTTTTTAACTAAACACTTTGAAAGGCAATCTGTAGTTAATATATTTCACTAGATTTGAGATTTTTGCATTATTTTTCTGTTGGGATCTTATAATGGCAGGAAACATATATTACAAGGATAAAGTAATCACAATCATCATCTCCTATCAGATTACCACCAACTTCACCTATATACCATGCCAGCCACCCATGTGATTTAATTCTAAATTTAAAAAAGGCTGAATTTTGGCTCACAAGGACAGTTTCCTGTTGGGCATGACATCTTAAAAAGTGATTCATTTAAATAATAATCAAATTACTAAACTTTGAAATACTAGGTCTTTTAATATGCTACCATGGGATTTGTTGCTTTATAAACCTTTGCCGAAAATTACTCAAATAACTTTTTTTTTAATCCTATTTGTAATATTGCCAGATGAAGACCTTGGCTCAGCAGGTAGCATGTGGAGATGTTAGAATCTACCTCATTTCTAAGACTGATTATTGTAATTCATATCTATCCTCCTAACCAACTTTGTATCCTTGCTCAACTCAGATTTGCAATCTATCTTTGTTGCATTGTCTTTCAATGTCTATTCAATATACAAGAGGACAGTCCATATTTTCTTAATTGGCATGTCATAGGTTGTTTTGGTGCTACTTAAAATTAAATATCATCTGCATTGATTCAGATTCTGTTCACAGTGCTGGGGTTGTTGTCAGATAAGGTTTATCTGTTCACTGTTGAGAGGCAGAAAGATAATAACTTTTAGGTTAAAAGATATGTGGGCAGGTTTAAGATGCATGATCCAGTCAGTGGTAGAGCAAAGGGCACCTGAGGGTTTTTAGGGACTGGGGAGAACCTGGTTTACTTCAAGAAGCCTTGGGAACTATTTAGACATAAAAAATTAGTTACCCAATGTTAATGATGGTAATTCCATTATAATCTACTTATCAAATACATCATTAGGTGACAGATAACATCAGCCTGGTGTTATATACAATACTCGCATTAACCCTCAGAGTTTCCTATGAGAATCAAGTATTTTTATTCCTTTCTATAGATGAGAAATCTGAGGCACAATGGTGATAATGGTTATTTCTTTTATCACTAGTTAGGAAGCTAGAGAGCATCAGTGTCTTCTGTGCTATTAGTAAGACTTGGAGCATTCCTGTTCTGACAGAGAATTCAGTAGTGGATTTGAGCCTCATTATGAATGCAGACATTGATACAAGACTGGAAGAGTAGTTAGCTGAACTGCATAGGCGCCTGAGACTCTTAATTATGTAGAATAAGACAAATTGATATGATGTAAGAACAAGACAATGCTAATTATGAAAGATCCTTTCTCTGCTGTACCATACAACTTCCTTATAGTCTACCATGTCTTTATTTGGTTATGGTACCTCCTGGGGGATTTTGGTTTGAGTCTCATGCTAACTAGCTATGCATCTCCCCCACCGCCTTGCTACCAACTACTACACATGTCATCAATTTAAGATTTTGGCAACTAGCTCTCACCATGATCACTGTAACCGTTGAGTGGTATGGTTTCAACTCTGTTTCTTCACAACCAAATTTTGTTCATGGTTTTCCTTCATTACAGATTAAACACTCTCAGTGTCACAAAAGAAGATGTTCATACAGTTCAACTTCGAAATATTGAATTAGGATATCCTATAATCTTGCTTCAATCTTCCTTACTAGTCTATTTCTTTTTTTTTGACTTGAGATTATTTATTTGTTGTAAGTTTTTATTGTGAAAATAGTGTACAGAGAGGTTACAGTTATAACAGTAAAGTAATGAGT